ACACACCCCACACACACCACACACACACCACACACACCCACACACACCCCACACACCCCACACACACACCACACACACACCACACACACACACCACACACACACACCACACCACACACCCACACACACACACACAACACACACACACACCACACACACACACACACACACACACACACACACCACACACACACACACACACCACACACACACACCACACACACACCACACACACACCACACACACACCACACACACACCACACACACACACCACACACACACCACACACACACACACACAACACACACACTACACACACACACACACACACACACACACAACACACACCACACACACCACACACACCACACACACCCCACACACCCACACCCACACACACACACACACACACACACACACACACACACACACACACACACACACACACACACACACACACACACACCAGATACCTCAAAGACAATGGGGCCAGATAACATCTCTCCATGGGTCCTGAGAGACGGAGCAGAGGCGCTATGTGTACCCCTAACAACAATATTCAATACATCTATCGAAACAGGGAGATTGCCTGAGGCATGGAAGACAGCAAATGTAGTCCCAATCTTTAAAAAAGGAGACAGACATGAAGCACTAAACTACAGACCATTGTCACTGACATGTATAGTATGCAAAGTCATGGAGAAGATTATCAGGAGAAGAGTGGTGGAACACCTAGAAAGGAATGATCTCATCATCAGCAGCCAACATGGTTTCAGGGACGGGAAATCCTGTGTCACAAACCTACTGGAGTTCTATGACATGGTGACAGCAGTAAGACAAGAGAGAGAGGGGTGGGTGGATTGCATTTTCTTGGACTGCAAGAAGGCGTTTGACACCGTTCCACACAAAAGTTTAGTGCAAAAACTGGAGGACCAAGCAGGGGTAACAGGGAAGGCTTTACAACAGATCAGGGAATACTTGTCAGGAAGACAGCAGCGAGACATAGTGCGTGGCGAGGTGTCAGAGTGGGCACCTGTGACCAGCGGGGTTCCACAGGGGTCAGTTCTAGGACCAGTGCTGTTTCTGGTATTTGTGAATGACATGACGGAAGGAATAGACTCCGAGGTGTCCCTGTTTGCAGATGACGTGAAGTTGATGAGAAGAATTCATTCGATCGAAGACTGGGCAGAACTACAAAGGGATCTGGACAGGCTGTAGACCTGGTCCAGCAATTGGCTCCTGGAGTTCAATCCCACCAAGTGCAAAGTCATGAAGATTGGGGAAGGGCAAAGAAGACTGCAGATGGAGTACAGTCTAGGGGGCCAGAGAGTACAAACCTCACTCAAGGAAAAAGATCTTGGGGTGAGTATAACACCAGGCACATCTCCTGAAGCGCACATCAACCAAATAACTGCTGCAGCATATGGGCACCTAGCAAACCTTAGAACAGCATTCCGACATCTTAATAAGGAATCGTTCAGGACCCTGTACACCGTGGACGTTAGGCCCATATTGGAGTATGCGGCACCAGTTTGGAACCCACACCTAGCCAAGCACGTAAAGAAACTAGAGAAAGTGCAAAGGTTCGCAACAAGACTAATCCCAGAGCTAAGAGGTATGTCCTATGAGGAGAGGTTAAGGGAAATCAACCTGACAACACTGGAGGACAGGAGAGATAGGGGGGACATGATAACGACATACAAAATACTGAGAGGAATTGACAAAGTAGACAAAGACAGGATGTTCCAGAGATTGGACACAGTAACAAGGGGACACAGTTGGAAGTTGAAGACACAGATGAATCACAGGGATGTTAGGAAGTATTTCTTCAGCCACAGAGTAGTCAGGAAGTGGAATAGTTTGGGAAGCGATGTAGTGGAGGTAGAATCCATACATAGCTTTAAGCAGAGGTATGATAAAGCTCACGGTTCAGGGAGTGACCTAGTAGCGACCAGTGAAGAGGCGGGGCCAGGAGCCTGGACTCAACCCCTGCAACCTCAACTGGGTGAGTACACACACACACACACACTATATATATCTATATCTATATCTATATATATATATATATATATATAATATATATATATATATATATATAATATATATATATATATATATTTATATATTTATATTTATATTTATATTTTAACAAGTCGGCTGTCTCCCACCGAGGCAGGATAACCCAAAAAGAAAGAAAATCCCCAAGAAGAAAATACTTTCATCATCATTCAACACTTTCACCTCACTCATACATAATCACTGTCTTTGCAAAGGTACCCAGATACAAAAGTTTAGAAGTATATATAAAGATATATAACATATCCCTCCAAACTTCCAATATCCCAAACCCCAATTTTAAAGTGCAGGCATTGTACAGTGGTCCCCCGCTTTTCGTAGTTCCCGGCAATCGTAAAATTCGCCGCTCATAGGGGTATTTTCGTATAAACATGGACTCGCTTTTCATAGGTTGACTCGCGAGTCGTAGTTCGTCCGGGACGCGTACCCACGGCGTGAGCCAGGGCGGCAGCCAGTCTGGCATTGTTTACCAGTGAGTGAAGGTCCCCTCACGTGCTCCAGCGAAATATTTCATAATACGTATTCCATTTATTTCAGTGCTTGCAAGTACTAAATAAGCTACCACGGCTCCAAAGAAAGCTCCTAGTGCCAAGCCTGTGGTAAAGAAGGTGAGAAATACGATTGAATTTAAGAAAACCATCATTGAACAATATGAAAGTGGTTCAAGTGTGGCTGAACTGTCCAGGATGTATAAGAAACCCTACACAACCTTATGTTCCATAGTGGCCAAGAAAAATGAAATAAAGGATGCTGTTGTTGCAAAGGGAGTAACTATGCTGACCAAAAATGAGATCACCAGTACTGGAAGAGGTTGAGAAGTTATTATTGGTGTGGATAAATGAGAAACAATTAGCAGGAGATACTCTTATGACTTCGTTTATTTGTGAAAAGGCTAGGCAGTTGCATGAAGATTTGGTAAAGAAATTGCCTGCAAATAGTGGTGAAGTGAGTGAATTTAAGGCCAGCAAAGGCTGGTTTGAGAGATTTAAGAACCGTACTGGCATACACAGTGTGGTAAGGCATGGTGAGGCTGCCAGTTCGGACCACAAGGTGGCTGAAAAATATGTGCATGAATTCCAGGAGTACATAGAGGCTGAAGGACTGAAACCTTAACAAGTGTTCAATTGTGACGAAACAGGCCTCTTTTGGAAGAAAATGCCAAACAGGACCTTCATTACACAAGAGGAAAAGGCAATGCCAGGACACAAGCCTATGAAAGACAGGCTGACGCTAATGTTCTGTGCTAATGCTAGTGGGGATTTCAAAGTGAAGCCATTACTAGTGTACCATTCTGAAAATCCCAGAGTGTTCAGGAAAAACAATGTTATGAAGAGTAAATTGTGTGTGTTTTGGAAATCTAATAGTAAGGCATGGGTCACGAAGGAAATTTTCATCGAGTGGTTCAATGAAGTGTTTGGCCCTAGTGTGAAGGAGTATCTCCTGGAAAAGAAATTGGATCTCAAGTGCATGCTAGTAATGGACAATGCACCTGCTCATCCTCCAAACTTGGATGACCTAATTTTCGAGGAGTTTGGGTTCATCACAGTAAAGTTCTTGCCCCCGAATACCACTCCTCCAACCCATGGACCAGCAGGTTATTGCAAACTTTAAAAAACTCTACACAAAAGCAATGTTTCACAGGTGCTTGACTGTGACCACAGTCACTCACTTGACCCTAAGGGAATTTTGGAGAGAACACTTCAGCATCCTCCACTGCATAACCCTTATAGGTATGGCTTGGGAGGGAGTGACTACCAGGACTTTGAACTCTGCCTGGAGAAAATTGTGGCCAGATTGTGTCGACAAGACTGATTTTGAAGGATTTGGGACTGACCCTAATGAGCCTATGTCTGTTGTAAAATCAATTGTGGCACTGGGGAGTTCCATGGGGTTGGATGTGAGTTTGGAGGATGTGGAAGAATTGGTGGAAGACCACAATGAAGAGCTCACCACTGAGGAGCTGCAAGAGCTTCAGCAGGAAGAGCAACACTTCGCAGCTCAGAATCTTGCTGCAGAGGAGGAGGAAGAGAGATGGAAGAAGGTGCCTTCTTCAGAAATTAAAGAGATTTTTACTATGTGGGGTAAGATGGAAAGCTTTATGGAGAAACATCACCCTAACAAGGTTGTTGCAAGCCAGGTTGGCAACATGTACAGTGACAAAGTCTTGGGCCATTTTAGGGAAGTGTTAAAGAGACGCCAGAAACAGAGCTCTCTCCACAGTTATTTTGTGAGACAGGACTCCAGGGACTCTCAAGGTGGTCCTAGTGGCATTAAGAAACAGAGAATTGAAGCAACCCCAGAAAAGCAAATGGTACCTGAGGTGTTGATGGAAGGGGATTCCCCTTCCAAACTATAAACAATCCACTCTCTCTCCTCCTCCAGTCTCCCATACACTAAGAAGAATCTCCAATAAAGGTAAGTGTTATGCTGTTAATGTTTCATTCATCATTTCTCATTGTATTGTTTATGTACTACATGTATATTTCATGTTAAAAATTTTTTTGTTTTAATACTTCTGGGTGTCAGGAACGGATTAATTGTATTTACATTATTACTTATGGGGAAAATTGATTCGTAAATCGTAAATTTCGTTTATAGTAACGGCTCCAGGAACGGATTAATTACGAACAACGAGGGACCACTGTACTTCCCATTTCCAGTACTCAAGTCTGACTATATAAAAATCACAGGTTTCCCTGAATCCCTCCACTAAACATTACCCTGCTCACACTCCAACAGCTCGTCGGGTCCCAAAAACCATTTGTCTTCATTCACTGCTATCTAACACACTCATACACAAATAACCCACACATAAAAGAGAGAAGCTTACGACGACGTTTCGGTCCGACTTGGACCATTGACATTGTCAATGGTCCAAGTCGGACCGAAACGTCGTCGTAAGCTTCTCTCTTTTATGTGCGGGTTATTTGTGTATCGTTCCAGTCACGGTATTGCGCCTTTTTTGTTATTAACACACTCATGTACGCTTGCTGGAAGTCCAAGCCCCTTGCCCATAAAACCTTTACTCCCTCCTTCCAACCTTTCCGAGGACGACCCCTTCCCCGTCTTTCTTCCCCTACAGATTTATACACTCTCCAAGTCATTCTACTTTGATCCATTCTCTCTAAATGACCAAACCACCTCTACAACCCTTCTTCAGCCCTCTGACTAATACTTTTATTAACTCCACACCTTCTCCTAATTTCCACACTCCGAATTCCCTGCATAATATTTACACCACACATTGCCCTGAGACAGAACATCTCCACTGCCTCCAGCTGCCTCCTTGCTGCAGCATTTACAATCCAAGCTTCACACCCATATAAGAGTGTTGGTACCGCTATGCTTTCATACATTTCCTTCTTTGCCTCCACGGATAACGTTTTTTGTCTCCACATATACCTCAACACACCACTCACCTTTTTTCCTTCATCAATTCTATAATTAACCTCATCCTTCATAAACCCATTCACTGACACGTCAACTCCCAAATATCTGAAAACATTCACTTCTTCCATATTCCCTCTCTCCAATGTGATATCCAATTTGTTTTTATCTAAATCATTTGATTACCCTCATCACCTTACTCTTATCTCTGTTCACATTCAACTTTTTACCTTTACACACCCTCCCAAGCTCGTCCACTAACCTTTGCAACTTTTCTTTAGAATCTCCCATAAGTACAGCATCATCAGCAAAAAGTAACTGTGTCAACTCCCATTTTTTGCTTGATACCCCATAATTTAATCCCACCCCTCTCCCCAGCACCCTAGCATTTACTTCTTTTACATCCCCATCTATAAATATATTAACCATAGTGACATTACACATCCCTGTCTAAGACCTACTTTTACCGAGAAGTAATCTCCCTCTCTCTTACACACACTAACCTGAGCCTCACTATCCTCATAAAAACTCTTCACAGCATTTAGTAACTTATTACCTATTCCATACACATGTAACATCTGCCACATTGCTCCCCTATCCACACTATCATATGCTTTTTCTAAATCCATAAATGCAGTGAAAACTTCCCTACCTTTATCTAAATACTGTTCACATATATGCTTTAATGTAAACACTTGATCTACACATCCCCTACCCACTCTAAAGCCTCCTTGCTCATCTGCAATCCTACTCTCTGTTTAACTTCTAATTCTTTCAATAATAACACGTTACCTGATATACTCAGTAAACTTATTACCCTATAATTTTTACAATCTCTTTTGTTCCCCTTCCCTTTATATAAAGGAACTATACACGCTCTCTGCCAATCCCTAGGTACCTTCCCCTCTTTCATACATTTATTAAACAAAAATACCAACCACTCCAATACTATATCCCCCCTACTTTTAACATTTCTCTCATGATTCCGTCAATTCCAGCTGCTTTACCCCGTCATTGTACGTAATGCCTCATGCACATTCCCCCACACTCACATTCTGCTCTTCACTCCTAAAAGATGTGATACTTCCCTGGCCAGTGCATGAAATTACCGCCTCCCTTTCTTTATCGACATTTAAAAGTTCCTCAAAATATTCCCGCCATCTACCCAATACCTCCAGCTTCCCATCTACTAACTCCCCTACTCTGTTTTTAACTGACAAATCCATTCATTCCCTAGGCTTTCTTAGCTTGTTTATTTCACTCCAAAATTTTTTCTTATTTTCTTCAAAATTTCTTGACAATGCCTCTCCCACCGTATCATCTGCATTCCTTTTGCACTCTTTCACCACTTTCTTCACCTTCCTTTTACTCTCTATATACTCTGCTCTTCTTATAACACTTCTGTTTTGTAAAAACCTCTCATAAGTTACCTCTTTCTCTTTTATCACACCCTTTACTTCATTATTCCACCAGTCACTCCTCTTTCCTCCTGCACCCACCCCCCTATAGCCACAAACTTCTGCCCCACATTCTAATAATGCATTTTTAAAAGTATCCCAACTCTCTTCAACCCCCCCACTACTCATACATGCATTAGCCCACCTTTCTGCCAATAATTGCTTATATCTCAGCCTAACTTCCTCCTCCCTTAGTTTATATACTTTCACCTCTCTCTTACTTGCTGTTGACATTTTCCTTTTGTCCCATCTACCTCTTACTCTTAACTGTAGCTACAACTAAATAATGATCCAATATATCCGTTGCCCCTATATAAACATGTACATCCTGAAGCCTACCCATCAACCTTTTATCCACCAATATATAATCTAACAAACTACTTTCATTACGTGCAGTATCATACCTTGTATACTTATCCTCTTTTTCATAAAATATGTATTACTTATTACCAAACCTCTTTCTATACATAGCTCAGTATAAGTATATAATATGTACAAATGCTGCACTTGAAAGGAGGTGTTTGGAATATTGGCTGTTTGGAGTGACATCTAAACTATCATATTTGGGTGCCTCTGCAAAGACAGTGATTAAGTGTGAATGATGGTGACAGTGTTGAATGATGGTGAAAGTGCTTCTTTCTTTTTTGGGTCACCCTGCCTCGGTGGGAGACAGCTGACGTGTGAAAAAACAAGAACATGTGAATACTGAGTATTCCAGTGCTTTTTTTTTTATATCTTCAGCTGTCTCACCAAGGTAGGGTAAAGGAGACACATTCACCATCATTCATACAACAATTCAGCGATATGATGATAATTATATACTGTCTTATATTCATGTAATCACAACTATTGAAGTATAAACATAATATTTAGCTATTAATACTGTGTGTGAATGTTTTTTAATTTCTAACACCTGAATGAATATGTTTGCAGTATAAACTTCATACGGACGTTTGTACAAACTATTCATACTGAAGTCTTTTCAATATATAACTATCCTTACATTTCTTCATAAACATACCATATCAATATTTTATGTACATTATATGGTATAATCATCCATAATTTTTTAGCAAGTAAATCTTCATCAAGATCTCCCACGCCTTCTGCCGCAATAGCAGCTGTCCTTGGTATGTTCCTCGATCCAGGAGAGGTAGTTGGTGACTCGTGTGTAGACGCCAGGGTAGCCCCTCCGCCCACACCCATCACCCCATGATACCACACCTGTTGGAAAATAGAACAGCTTACAGCTTCTGTATTTATTAGGATACAGTGGTCAGCCTTCCACTAACCTGAAGTAACCATTCATTCTAATCCTTAAACAGCTTCTTACTAAAATGTTATACTGTGAATTATCTAATTTAATGGAATACTATATTGTATTTTAAGAAGGCATGATGAAATGTGTGTGCTCTAGTCCTGGTTACTAACATCCTGACTGGCCAGAGACCAGGTCATAACAAATAAAAAGATTGGATAAGTAGAGGATTGAGCTTTCACCACTCCTTGCATTGAATGGCCAACACTGATTTAATGCTTCATATTAATATGCAATAGTAATAATATAAAGGTGCTACTATATTGCCTAGTAAAAGACTTAACTGAGTGGATTGTGAAAGAGGAGAGATTACAGGAAATTGAGTCACCATACCTATCACATCCATTTTGCCATCGTTTCCCTGCCAGAGTAGGCCACCTCCACTGTCACCCTGAAAGCCATAAAGAAGATAAACAATGTCCCACGCTGACCTGTTTTTTTTTATTATACGTTAGCCAAAATGGTTTTTCACAGGGCTGTATGACTTACAGGTTTAGTGCCTACCTTGATTATAATAATAATCCTGGTACAGTATTTCAAAATTGTAGTAGTCTGAGACAAAGAATGCCAAGTACCACTGAAAACTAAGATCATTATATTTGTGGTATTTTCTTAGTGTTGAATGAAGGTCATTCTTGTAAATAATTAAGATGATATGTGTGTGTGTTTGTAGATGAAGGCCCATTTGAACAATATGTTTCAGCTAATTCAGGGATACAAAAAGTAGGCCTCATTTTCCCATATGCTATATGGGATATGGTAGAATTACAAACTGGGGTAGCAGCAGTAACTGTGATTGCACATGAAATACTGTGCTAGCAGTATGAGCACCCATAGCAGGTACTGTGCCACTGACAGCAACTACAGCAGCAACAATTACCTCAGCAGCTACAGATGCAGCAGCCACTGCACCAAATTATAGAAGCAGCAGTTGTAACACTAGTACAGTGGAACCTCAAAAATCGAACTTAATCCGTTCCAGGAGCTAGTTCTAAATTCGAAAAGTCTGAAATTCGAAGCAATATTTCCCATAAGAAATAATGGAAATACAATTAATCCGTTCCAGAAGCCCAAAAATATTCACACAAAAAATACATTTTATAGAGATTAATTACAATTTTACATACAACAAATAATATAGTTTTTAATTATGTATACCTGGAGTTTACCTGGAGAGAGTTCCGGGGGTCAACGCCCCCGCGGCCCGGTCTGTGACCAGGCCTCCTGGTGGATCAGAGCCTGATCAACCAGGCTGTTGCTGCTGGCTGCACGCAAACCAACGTACGAGCCACAGCCCGGCTGATCAGGAACCGACTTTAGGTGCTTGTCCAGTGCCAGCTTGAAGACTGCCAGGGGTCTGTTGGTAATCCCCCTTATGTATGCTGGGAGGCAGTTGAACAGTCTCGGGCCCCTGACACTTATTGTATGGTCTCTTAACGTGCTAGTGACACCCCTGCTTTTCATTGGGGGGATGTTGCATCGTCTGCCAAGTCTTTTGCTTTCGTAGTGAGTGATTTTCGTGTGCAAGTTCGGTACTAGTCCCTCTAGGATTTTCCAGGTGTATATAATCATGTATCTCTCCTGCCTGCATTCCAGGGAATACAGGTTCAGGAACCTCAAGCGCTCCCAGTAATTGAGGTGTTTTATCTCCGTTATGCGCGCCGTGAAGGTTCTCTGTACATTTTCTAGGTCAGCAATTTCACCTGCCTTGAAAGGTGCTGTTAGTGTGCAGCAATATTCCAGCCTAGATAGAACAAGTGACCTGAAGAGTGTCATCATGGGCTTGGCATCCCTCGTTTTGAAGGTTCTCATTATCCATCCTGTCATTTTTCTAGCAGATGCGATCGATACAATGTTATGGTCCTTGAAGGTGAGATCCTCCGACATGATCACTCCCAGGTCTTTGACGTTGGTGTTTCGCTCTATTTTGTGGCCAGAATTTGTTTTGTACTCTGATGAAGATTTAATTTCCTCGTGTTTACCATATCTGAGTAATTGAAATTTCTCATCGTTGAACTTCATATTGTTTTCTGCAGCCCACTGAAAGATTTGGTTGATGTCCGCCTGGAGCCTTGCAGTGTCTGCAATGGAAGACACTGTCATGCAGATTCGGGTGTCATCTGCAAAGGAAGACACGGTGCTGTGGCTGACATCCTTGTCTATGTCAGATATGAGGATGAGAAACAAGATGGGAGCGAGTACTGTGCCTTGTGGAACAGAGCTTTTCACCGTGCCTGCCTCGGACTTTACTCTGTTGACTACTACTCTCTGTGTTCTGTTAGTGAGGAAATTATAGATCCATCGACCGACTTTTCCTGTTATTCCTTTAGCATGCATTTTGTGCGCTATTACGCCATGGTCACACTTGTCGAAGGCTTTTGCAAAGTTTTTATATATTACATCTGCATTCTTTTTGTCTTCTAGTGCATCTAGGACCTTGTCATAGTGACCCAATAGTTGAGACAGACAGGAGCGACCTGTTCTAAACCCATGTTGCCCTGGGTTATGTAACTGATGGTTTTCTAGATGGGTGGTGATCTTGCTTCTTAGGACTCTTTCAAAGATTTTTATGATATGGGATGTTAGTGCTATCGGTCTGTAGTTCTTTGCTGTTGCTTTACTGCCCCCTTTGTGGAGTGGGGCTGTCTGTTGTTTTTAGTAACTGTGGGACGACCCCCGTGTCCATGCTCCCTCTCCATAGGATGGTAAAGGCTCATGATAGGGGTTCTTGCAGTTCTTGATGAACACGGAGTTCCATGAGTCTGGCCCTGGGGCAAAGTGCATGGTCATGTCATTTATCGCCTGTTCGAAGTAATTTGGCATCAGGATAACATCAGATAGGCTTGTGTTAACCAAATTCTGTGGCTCTCTCATAAAAAATTCATTTTGATCTTCGACTCTCAGTCTGGTTAGTGGCTTGCTAAAAACTGAGTCATACTGGGACTTGAGTAGCTCACTCATTTCCTTGCTGTCATCTGTGTAGGACCCTTCTTGTTTAAGTAAGGGCCCAATACTGGACGTTGTTCTCGACTTTGATTTGGCATAGGAGAAGAAATACTTTGGGTTTTTTTCGATTTCATTTATGGCTTTTAGTTCTTCCCGCGATTCCTGACTCCTATAAGATTCCTTTAGCTTAAGTTCGATGTTTGCTATTTCTCTGACCAGTGTCTCCCTACGCATTTCAGATAGATTGACCTCTTTTAGCCGCTCTTTTTATTTTTTTTTCCGTCGTTTTTAAAAAGAGCGTTTGTCTCTTTCTATTTTACATCTACTCCCCTTTTTCTAGAGGAATCTTGTGCAACTCGAGTGCCACCAAGAATTTTGTTCAGCATAATTTGGTCTGTGTTGCTTATATACCCCCTTCCCATTTATATGGGTTGGGGAAACTTGGTTTACTTGGCCCCATTTATTTTTTTTTGTTTTGAATTTTAATTAGTGAAGCCCCTCGTGACTAAACTCATTTTTTTTGTCTGGGCTCTGCGCATACATTCGAACCTCAATTATGATGGATCTATCAGGGGCCCCCCGGGTTAACGATATTTTTTCACTCCGAAGTATGTTCGGGGTCCAGACTGACCAATTTTTTCCCAAAGGTATTGTGAATAGATTAGTCCATTTCAACCCCCAAAATACACGACAAACGCATTTACATAAAAACTTAAAAATTGGGTCGCATTCGGAGGATCGTTAGCGGGGCCCCACGATATTGTTTTTGATATGGTGACATTTTTTATCAGATCACATTGTTATGAAGATGAGGTCTAGTGTATTCTCCATTTAGAGGCTCTATTATTTCGGGTTTAAATTAAATTTTGTGCGAGTTTTTAAAACTCGTGTGAGTGTAGTTTTCCACAAGCTGCCTCCGGGTGTTTTTTACGCAACAATATTATTTGCTTTTTCCCCTCCTTTTTTAGTCCTTAATTTTAAATCCCCCAAATACAAGATTTTGGGGTGCGGGACTGGAAGTTTTTCCAGACGTGGTAAATTTTTTAACAGCTGTTCCTGGAATGCTGGGGTGTTGCTCCAGAGGCTTGTAGACCACCACAATGACTAGTTTTGGTTTTCGACCTTTACTGCTAAAACTTCCATACCTCATTTTTTAGGGATTTAAAAGTCTGTGCAAAAAGTGACTCTGCAAAATTACAGGCCAACCCCCCCCTTTTTGCCTGTTCACTCTGTCACATCTGTACAGGTTGTAACCTGGGATCCATATTTCATTGTCTAAGTGATCCTTGATGTGGGTCTCAGTGAAAGCCGCGAACATTGCCTTTGCCTCTGCAAGCAGTCCACAGATGAAAGGTATTTTGTTGTTTGTTGCTGGCTTTAGACCCTGTATATTTGCAAAGAAGAATGTCATTGGACTGGTGGTATTGTTGGTACTGGGGGGGATTTTTTTTTCCGGCATTAGTATCTGTATCTGTTGGTTTGGAGTGGAGGCCATCGACTGTGGTTCCACTCCAGGAATGACTGGATTTGGTGTACAATTTCTGCCATTTCCTGCCAGTTTTTTTTCCTTCCTGGCACTAAAAAACCTCTCCCTCTTGAGTGGTTGTGGCTACCCAGGTTTTCCCATGGCCTGGATGTTTTGTATCTTTTTGTCCCCTTTAGATGGTGTGCCTGGCAATTTAAGTTATAGCACAGTCTTTCCTGTACTGAAGAGGTACACATTTCAGGGTGAAAAAGCTTACAGGAATGGAGTTTGCATTTTCCTGTTGTCATATGGGCACGGCATTTTCTAGGGTGGTCATAGTTGCACGTCCCATTTGTTTTTCCAGATTTCCCATGTCTGCAGATACCAAGTGCATAGTAATGTGCACAGGCTTGTTTCCGTTTGCCTTGGGTTTCTGTGACTGTATTCCCTGTTGGTACATGTTTACCTGTCTTATTCCTATCTTCCCTAGCACCAACAATGGAGCTCCCACCAGTTGTTTTTGGTAATATATCCTCACTATTGCTAGTGGAGTCCTCTTGTTTGCTATTTCCTGTTGTATTTCTTGTTTGCAATATTGGTTTTACTTATCTTTGACTACACTTGTTTCCCACTAACGGCTCCTGTCCCCTATGAGGTCATTTATATGCATTCCTTCCTGCCGTATAATTCCCGACTACCTGGACAAAATCTCCAGCTTCACCATTACTGTCTCCCAGGACAGCACCTCCAGCATCACCATTACTGTCTCCCAGGACAGCATCTCCAACTTCACCATTACGTCTCCCAGGACAGCATCTCCAGCTTCACCATTACTGTCTCCAGGACAGCACCTCCACTTCACCATTTCTGTCTCCCAGGACAGCACCTCCAGCTTCACCATTACTGTCTCCCAGGACAGCACCTCCAGCTTCACCATTACTGTCTCCCAGACAGCACCTCCAGCTTCACCATTACTATCTCCCAGGACAGCACACTCAGCCCCACATTACTGACTACCAGGACATCACCTCCAGCCTTACAGTTTCTGACACATGGCCAGTATCAAGGGCAGTACCATTCAGCCCAGACTTTTTATGTTCCCATCTGTTGTAGAAAGCTTCCAGGTTGTCTATGAAAGCAGCTTTGATGTTATCCTCTTTTAATACCCTTGTGATTTTAGTCCACAGATTTATCTCCTTTGGGCATACCCAAAAACACTTCCCTGTTTTAATACTGCTTGTAGCTAGTTCTTGGATATCTGCACAAGGGGCGTGACACCAATTTCCACAAAAATGACAATTTATCCATGTGGAAGCCCGTCTGTTTGATTTATTGCAGACTACACACAGCTTCATAATGATTTGAATGGTTGATTTACTGTAATTCTACTAGCAACCTCTTGAATACTCTTGAATACCTCTTTAAGTAAAGCTCTAGCTATCTGTATTTCTATTTCTAACTGTACTTTTATATCAGGACAGCTTACCAGAGTACGCTCCTGGAGTTTGTTTTATATTTATTGTTTGTGTTTATAAGGGCACCTACAACCCCATCCATTTACAGTCTGCTTTATTGTCCAACGAATCCGTTTGAAACCGGCCAAGGGTTCGACCAGTTGAGGGTTCGGTCCAGTCGAGGGTTCGGAGCCAGTCTGATCTGATCAGTGGGTCACTTATTTAATACATACTGGTCGGTGATTTGGGCTAACACATGAAGGTTTCTACTGAAATTCTACCCGAGTAATATGTTATTTGATTGATACAAAAGTATAATTTGCGTGTTGAAGAAACCGGTGACTGCTGGCAACTCCTACAGTGACAAACAGTCGAGCCTCAACCCTTGTTTATCAATCGCTGTATCTAGCTTTTCTAGTTTTTCTTTTGGCCTCCACCACAATAAATGCTATATTATCACTATAGTTGACTGGTGGAAATTTTGGAGGAGGGACGCTTTTTCTGTAGTAATAATTGCTTCTCGTTGTGTATATTGCGACTGCTGGTAACTACAGGTTATATGAAATTCACAGTAACGTCTGGTATTTCAAGAAAAAGAAACTAATGAAAGTCACTCCACTCCACTAAGTACCATTATAATACTGGTTAGTTGCTACTACAGCACTGTATTCTGCTATTCACTAGTATCACTAGATTATATGCGAGTACACTAGCAGGCCAGGAAGATTATTAAAATAACATTTTTACTTACCTTTATTGAAGATTGGTGATGGCATCTGGAAGATAGGGAGGAGGAGAAAGGGAGCTGGGGTTAGTGTTTGGAAGGAGAATCCCCCTCCATGAGGACTTCAGGTAAAGCCCTCTCTGGAGTTACTTCCCTTCTCTGTCTTTTAATGCCACTAGGACCAGCTTGAGAGTCACTGGACCCCTGTCTCACAAAATAACTGTCCACAGTCCTCTGTTTCTGGCGCCTATTTAACATTTCCCTAAAATGGGACATTGGTTCTGTCACTGAACTTGTTGCAAAGATGGCTTGTTTCAGTTTGCTCAGGGTGGTACTTCTGCACAAACATTTGGACATCATTCCACTTGGCACAAATCTTCTTAATCTTTGAAGAAGGCACCTCATCCACTCCCTATATTAACACCTTTCGGAACATCAGCTTCCTTGATTTGTTCTTTCTTTGACAGGATAGAACCGATGGTCGACTTGTTTTTCCCATACATCCTGGCAAGCTCAACAAGTCTTACACCACTCTCATACTTCTGTATTATTTCCTTCTTCACATCTATGGTGTTTCTCACTTTCTTTACCACAGGGGTACCACTAGCAAGTTTCTTTGGGCCCATGGCAGCTTATTTCACAGTCCCACAAGCACTAAACACAACGAAATAATCATAAAATGCGTGAATGAGAGCGCAGGTTAGTGTTCACTCAAGCATAAACAAAGCTAGACTGCTTACCGCGCCTGCGCGAGGACGTGGACAGAGCGGGCGGCAGACAGGTCCGTACCCGGCGGTCCGAAAATAGTGACGCGTTCGATAATAGGGACACTGTCTGAAAAAATGGTCCTATTTTCGAAACGTTCGATATGTGATACGTTCGATTTTTGAGGTTCCACTGTATTAGCATAATAATAATAGTTATAGTTTATAGAAGTTGTCTTGTTGTTGTAGTGGTAGCAACAGTAGTAGTAACAGCTGCAGAACCAGCAATAGTGTTTATAGTAGTAACAACCAACTACTGTACGTACATGGCAGGAGTCTGTTCCCCCGTGGACATAACCTGCACACATCATGTTGTCGGTGATTTCATGGGGGTGGTAGCGGAGGGCTCGGCACACAGGGTTGGAGAAGATGGGAAGAAGAGCCTCCTTCAAGGTGTCAGTAGGGTCGCCCTTCTCACCCACCCGACCCCACCCAGTCACCACACCTAGCTCTCCCACATAGTCACTATCTGTGAGTGAAGATGGTACTGAGATGAAACAAGAATTTAATTGCTGTCTGGGTCCAGAAAATGAAAGAATGTATATTTATAATAATAATAATTTATTTCAAGCTACAGTACATAGTTTTTTACAAAAGTGGATGACATTTAATGCTGCCTTCTTCCTTGGATCAAACCTAATTACAGTAGTACTACTAGAACTATTAGTATTAGTATTAATAATAGTAGTAGTAGAAATAGTTTTAGTAGTAATACTATTACTACTACAGTACTACTACTAATAATAATAAATGGAAGTCTTAAAGACTGGAAAGTGATATATGGTCATATGTAAAATTTCATTTATCACTAGGAAGCGCTTGACCTGTAGGGGTTATACAGAATGGGAAGCAACCAGTTTTAATCCAAGTAAGGAGAGAGGCAGCTCCAACTCCTATGATCAAGTTCTCTTCACCAACATCAAGGCATATACATAAACTTTTAAATGCATGAAGCTTTCTCTCTCTAAGATGTTTAGCTAGCCTCCTCTTCCTGGGATAAAATTACTTTCCAAGATCTGTGATCCTTGCAAGTTTAGTGCTTCCTTATGGATATAGAAATATGTAATATGTCTATTCTTGCTATCCTAATTACTATCCTTTCATAATTTTTTTTAATATTTTTTTGGTGACCCAATTCATGTCTGCATAAATAACTCATTACGATTATAACCAGGTATGACCATGTAAATAGTCGTTCATTACACTGTAACTTTTTAGGTATCAAGATTTGGCTGCCCAGTCCCTGGATGCATTATGTGCCTCTGTATCTTTTGACTACCGCTCACATCATGGGTATGGGGCGCATACTAGATATTAAATTAAATAATGATGTGACAGAATCCATTAATATCGTAAAAACTTGATTAGAATTATTAACCCGAAGGCATAATAATCCAGAATAACCAAGTATCTACTTATTATTGGTCGAACATGGTCAACAGGTGTTAGGAACCATGCTCAAAGGCTCCTGCCCCAGGATCAAACTCAAGTTTTTCGGTTGTGAGCCAAAAGCACTCTACTACGAGACACTAAAGGCTTGCTTAGCTAACAAAATTTGGTCCTAGACCCTTTAATTTTTTGTTTACAGAATGGGTGTTAAGATACATAACAAATGAACTTTAGATACATAACAACTGAACTAAGAAACTTCATACTGGACCCCAGGATGCTGGAAGAACAAGATGAACACTATGTACAAAACACTCCTAGACATATAACTATGGTGAACATGGACATACTGTCTACTGTGGATTACTGTGGATCAAGAGCCCTTCAACAGTGCCCTTGGAACTGGTGAAAGTCTCTCGATCCATAGAATTCAAGCTATTCTTCCCTTCAGATCAAACTTGATTTCCTCCCATTTCCAAGTCACTGTATAATGCTTATGGGTCAACGTTTCCCCCATGAA